TTTAAGTTAAATAAAATGAGCAAAGTGTGTTTTTAAAAACACCATAGCAGTTTTTAAATATAGCTCCCAAATTCTTTGGTACTCTTCCCATTGAAAGGTGGCATCTATGCCCTCTTTCCTTGAATCTGGGTGTGCTCATGACTGCTTTGACCGATTGATTATGGAGAAAGTGACACTATGTGACTTCTAGGCTGGGTTATAAAAGGCCATGTAGCTTCTGCCTGATTCCTTTGGAACATTTCTCCTTGAATGCTTATTCTTGGAATGGTCAGCCTCTCTCATGAGGCTTCTCAGGACAGTCTCAGAACCCAGTTGCCATGCTGAAAGAAGCCCGTGCCACATGGAGAGCTCACATGTAGACACTCAGCTCCAGCTGAGCTCTTGGCCTTCGATAGCTGGTGATAAGTGCCAGTCCCGTGTGTGCAGCATCTTGGACGTGCACTCCAGCCTCAGCCACTATCTGGCTGTGATGGCTTGAGAGACCCCAAGTGAGAACTGTCCAGCTGAATCCAGTCAATTCACAGAACCCAAGAGATAGTAATAATTGTTTTAAGCCACTGAGTCTTAGGGTGGTTTGTTACACAGTGACAGTAACTGGAAAAAGCGTTTACTAGGTACAGGCGTGAGGGGCTAGAGCGGGACCTCCCTAGCACTGCAGACCCACTTATCGCTCAACTCACTGGTATGTGTTGTGTTGTTGCCCCGACTCTCACAGAGCTGGAGGGAGGAGTGAGACATTCCGCAGGAGAGCTAAGCATCAGCAGGCTGGGAGGGCTGCCAAGCCGCCTGCCTGCGGGAGCCCCAGCTCAGAGCAGCCTCCACGGGTGGCAATTAAAATGTGAAATTTAACCTTTAAGGAACAGCCTGACTTTACCTTTGCATCTTGGACATTTGGGATGCAGAAGACCTGTCAAATCCCTTCCTCTACCCAGCCCTGATCACATTTCTGTTTTCTGTTTGGACACAGGACTCAGACTTGTGTACACATGGAGAACAGCGTCTGGCACCAAGAACACAGAGGAGCTCAGAGC